ACGGGGGGGCCTGAGCCACCGCAGAGGGGTGCTGGGGGCATCCCTGGCGGGAACGTGGGTGCCACAATCCTCCTGAGGGGCAAGGAGGGCCATGGGGGGGGGCGGTGGACACTCACATCTGTGATGATGGGCACCCCGAGGTGGGCCATGTTGGTGATGATCTCGCTGTCCTCTGCTGGGATCTGAGCGTGCTGGATCAGCTTGTTCAGGTTCTCCTCGGTGATACCTGGAAATGTAACGGGGAGAGGGTGTCCTCCTGGGAAATGCCTCCCCATGGGGACACGGCCACTCTGTTGCCACCTTAGGACACCCAGATTGGTGGCGGTGAGGGAGACATGGCTGAGCCTTTCCACTTGGCTTATCCTGGCCAAACCCTGAGGTGTCTGCGACCCAGAGCTGCCCACACATCTTGCCCACCCTTGCCCAGGGGTCCTCCTCACCGTTCTTCAGGAAGATGTAGAGCAAGATGATGCGGATCTTGTCATAGGTGCTGACATTCCCATCCAGCAGGATGGGGACAATGGCCCTCATGGGGTCCTTGATCTTCTCACCCTCAGCATCGGTACCCATGGCCAGGTCCTGCAGAGAACGCACACGCTCATCACCCCTCAACCCACGGCTCAGTGCTGAGCTCTGGGGCAGCAGCTGTTGTCCCCACAGGGATGTGGGGCTGGGGGAGGTGGTACCTGTTCCACTCGGCAGAGCTTGTCCACTGTGCCCTGGTAGTGCTTCATGCAGTCCTCAGCCAGGTGCAGGTGGGTCGAGTACTGGGGAGACATGAGCGGTGCGGTCACTCTTGCAGTGCTGGCAGAAGGTCCTCGTGCTACCACCCCACCCTCAGCCCCCACCTGCTGCCAGGGACCCTCTGGAGAGAGCTGCCATGGCCCCCTTCCCCCCCAGAAATCGGCACAGACATTCCCCCCCCCAGCTCCTTGTACCTTGCTGAGCTCCTTCTGGTACTGCGGCATCTTCTTCAGCATCTGGGACAGGTCTCTCATGGTGGTCTGCGAGGGAAGGGGATGTGGTCATTCACCCTTGGGGACTCAGAGACCACAAGCAGAGAGGGACTGGCCCTGCCAAGGACTTCTGTCCCCACGCCAGCCCCTTGCAGGGTGTGGTGACACCTGCTGTGGCATTGCCAGGTCTCCTCTGCTGCGGCTGAGGGGCAGGGAGAGGGTCTGTAGCTCCTCAAACTGGAATGCTGGGAATACAAATCTGCCCCTTGGATGGCCTGCACTTGGCTGAGGCTGAAATGGTGTTTTCAGCTTCTGGCCACATCCTATTTCCACCAGGGTCCCCTCACTGGCAACAGC